AAAATTTTAGCATCCTTAGCTGTAAATAATATTTTTATAGGGTCCTTAAATGTCTTCTCTCACGTTCATATTGTTTCAATATTTTGAGCCTAATATTCTCAAATAATAATTTTTTGTGTTAATTATTGTTATTTTAAAAACTAAATTTAATATGTTAACGTTTGAAAAAGTTTATCAATATTTAAAAGTTCAATATTGGCATTTTTTTAAGTAAGGCTAACATTATTATGGTTAAATAACTGAATAGACAATTTATAAAATTAATGAAACAAAATAAAGTATTGTTTGAAATAATGGATTAAAATTAGGCTTTTTCTTAACATAAAAAATAAAATTACCTCAATATGAGTAAGTAATAAGTTAAAGTGCAGTGTGAACCTTTGGTCATCTAACTTTACATAAAGTTTCATGTGGTCTCGTAATTTTATAAATTGCTTTTTCATTTTTTTTTAAAAATTTTAACATTATTAGTTTCATCAACAAAAAAAAATTTCATTATATTAAACTTTTAAATGTGGGACAAAACATTCTCAAATGTTAACATTATCATTATATTAAACTCCATTATCTTGATCCCAAACTTCTCTAATATTTGCAAGGAAACTTCAACCTTCAAAGTTATGGCCAATCGTATTGTAAATGGCTTTAGCAATGGTTTTTTTACCAATTCCTCCCATGCCCATACTCCAACCAGGAGAACATTATTTGAGGGATATTGGTTGCTCAAAAGTTGAATTACATCTTGCACACAAGATTTAACTCCCACTGGATGGTTAGCAATGAATAAGTTTGTCTTTGCTAGATTATTACAAACATGTTTCAATATCCTTGCTTTCATTCCCATACTAAGATGTAAGAATAGAAGAAATGAACACTTATCTAACACACACACACACACACACACACACACAAGCATACAGAGTGAACCATGTTGCTATTAATAGCATACTCTCTTCAATTATATTATAAGTTACTTCCAACATGTTTTACTAGAACTGAGAAAAACCTTAAAATTCATTAAGGGGAATGTCATTGAAAGCCCTTAAAAGGAAAATAATGACATTATGGGTGATGAATGGTGTTTATTTGATTGATGGGAGTATAATTGAGCTAATGGAACCTAGAAATGGGTTTGATTGTGAGTAATGACCATAATGTGAGTCTTAAGATTATAATTTGATTAGGAGTAATTAATTGATTAATGTGTTTGAATGTAGATTGACACTACATTGTTAATATTGAGCTTGTTGGAGCCTTAATTGGATATACTTGTACTATTGGTATGGTAAACTAAAGGGTTGAAGTAATTGGAAACTTAAATTCTTGTATATGCTTGATGTTTGTTATTATGAGTTTCATGAAATGAATAACATGTATTTTGATAAGTAAAGTATTATGTTTTGTGCTTTGAAAATTATGTGAAGTAGGTGAAAATGTTGTAGTATGCTTTGAACTTGGTTGTTGTTATTAAATGTGAAAAGCAAGCATGTTGTGTGAAATATTACTTAAGAAAGGCATGAGAATGTATAATTATGCATATTGAGTATAAGTGTATCATTGACATAATCATGAATGGGTTAGAGTTCACATTAGGGAGAATAGTAATTTTAAATTCATGTCCATGCGGTAGGCTTCCATCAAGAGTGACACTCGGTGGTTAACATAATTATACTTCATGTGCTTAGCATTGTCATTATCCTTTGAAAAGTGGCATAGGTCAAGAAATGTGCTTACTATTGTCATTATTTGTTGGGAAGAGGCATGGATTAGGCAGTACTTAGCTATGAGAGATGGTGTGGGTTGGGAATTATGACACCTCTCAGATTTAAGATAGGGGAAATTCATAGTCTAAAAGTGAGTGTGAGAGCTTTTGGTTGAGTAACACCTTAAAATTAGAGAGGTTAGGCTAGCCCAATCATATTACTACCCCATAGATTGAATTAGAGGAAATAAGAAGAATAATGAGGTTAGTGCATTGATTATGCGTATCATATATTGTTAGTTTCATGCTTGAGTACTATAATGATCTTGATTTGAATTATGCCCACTTTACATGCTCATAGTTGCCATACTTGCATGTGCTTGAGTTTTCATTCTTTGGTACTTAGATTATCATTTTACTCCTATGGTTCAATGTTTATAAGTGATAATTTGACTGAGGACAAGGGGGAGGCCTTCGAGGCTAGAGACAACTAATTTGATTGTAATGTCTTCAATTTATGTGTAACTGAATATTATATTTTTGCCAACTAGCTAGAGGGTCATTACATGATAACTTGTGTTGATTTGGTTATGCTTGCCGTTGTAGCCATAGACATTGAATTAGGCCTTTTTGGTACTTCTTAACCATTTTAGGGTTCAAATCCATAAACTAACTTTTGTTGTAAGCCAAGATGTTTTGGGCATAGTATGTTTTGATAAGTTAAATGTATTTTGCATGATTTGGATAATTATACGGCTTGAATGCAGAAAATTGCATTTCCACCCTATTTATCTGAATTATGATGGTTGGATGGTCAAGTATTGATTTATGGTAAATATGATGCATGTGAATATTTAAGCATGTGTATTAGGACCTAGTGTGGTTCAAGCCCTTGTCTGAACTAATAGCATATAGTGTGAGATTTGAAACCAAATCTCATACTTGACTCAGTGTTTAATGTAAAATCTGGTAAATTTAGCCTTGGGTGTCCAAATTCTCCATTTGATATCAAATTGATATGAAGCTAACTTATTCATTAGATTATAAATTAAAATTATTTATGTGCAAACATTTGAATCATCTCAATTAAAAGTCTTGATCAAAAGTTATGTATGCACTAAAAGTTGGAACCTGGTAGTTGTCGTGACAGGTAAGTCATAGCTTATGAAGCATTGGCTAGTGCTTCTAGAGAGGAGTTGGCTGCATCTTAATGATTTTTGGCTAGGGCCAACAACCTATGTGTCGCAAGCTATGGCTAATAGCAGCCATGGTTGAATGCCATGTTTGGACAAAAATGAATCTTTTAATCCTGTTTTAACTTATTTTCAACTCCAATTGGTTTCCATACGTGCCAAATACTTTTTAATATGATTTATAATAGTTAAATGACTTTTTAAAATTTGTTTTGTATTTTAAATGATTTATGGCACAGGGAATCTCATTTTTGAAGAATTTTAATTTATACTTGGCTATTTTCTTGTTTAATTAACTATAGTTGATCCTTTCTATTATAATAACTTTTGATAATGACTACTTGCATTTCAATTATCATGGTAGAGGGTTTAATTAATGATTAATTATGTGGTAATTAAAAATCAGGAGTATTACATCACTAACTTATAAATAGGGCTGGATCCAGGGAGTATATTACAACATGAGGTGGAATTAATGTTGTTCCTACAACAAAACTTCAATTGGGTGAACTTTATACTTTCTATTTTGATATAAAATACCTTTTATTTCTAATAGTGGGCATATAAAGGAAAGGAAAGTTGTAATTATTTTGAAATAGATGATTCTATCACTGCTAAAATCAACCTATAGGAAAATCACTCCGTATGTAGGCATTCCCATATGTAGAGTTTATGAGAGCACTTTACTATAATGGATGTAAATTTTTGTTTTTAACTACCAATAATGGATGTATTTAGAACTAATTAATGACCAACCTAAGTATCTAATTGTTCTAGCTTTTGTAACAGTAATTTTATTTGTCAATCCCTATAAATAAAGGAAGAAAGCTAAGTTTAGCGTTTATAAAACCACAAAAAATAATAGTCTTGTCATATTTTGGAAGGGCTCTTTAGCCAGTTCGACATGATAGATATATCTATGATCTAAATAGAGGGACAATATACATGGAGATTCCCATTAATATAAATTATTTATTGTGAATAATTTATAATTATTAGGAGGATTATATTTTGAAAAAAATGATAATAAAATCTTTCTGAATTATATAAATGACATTAATCCCTTAAAATTTCATAATTTCAATGAAGTCCTTATGGACTTTTTTGTCAATAAATTTTAAAATGAACAAATTATTTTACCTTTACTTAAAATAAAAAGCCCCATCACAACTTTTGTTTTATAAATTGCAAGAGTTGAATAAGAAATTATAATTTATCAATTGTAATTTTTATTATTAAAAATAAGCCCTAATTATAACTTTTTTTTAAAGAATAACAACTTTTATTATGTGTATCGCAAGAATTGAATAAGAAATCACAATTTATCAAATGTAATTTCTATTATTGAAAAATAAGTTTTTAAAATAAAAAACTCCATTCACAATTTTTGTTTAAAGAATCACAACTTTTATTTAAAGAATTTCAATAATTGAACAAGAAATCATAATTTGTCAATAAAGGTAAAATTGTCTTTTTGCTTTAAAATTTGTTGACAAAGAGATCCATAGGGACTTCATTGAAATTATGGTATTTCAAGAGATCAGACTGTCATTTGTATAATTCAGAGGGATTTTACTATCATTTTTCTTATATTTTGTTTGTATTTTGATTATTCTATTATAGGATCATTATTAAATGATCTAGAGGGAAAAATTTTCTTGCTCATTCTTGTACAAAAAAATAGACAAATCTCATCAATACACCAACCCCCCCCCCCCCGCAACACAGAAAACACCATGCATGTCACGTGACTCACTTCTAAATTTAAGCATGTACTAATTAAATTAAGCCTATACCTTGAATATTTTAGGCCAAAAAAATTTGAATTATATAACACAAACAAACAAACAAAAGAGTTTCATCTCGTAAGGTCAGCTAAATTTGAATTATATATAATAATTAAAAATATACCTGGAGTTTATGATAACAAATCCCGCAATTCCAGCAACTTGACGAAGTGATGTCCTCCATTTAAAAACTTGATCTTCTGTAGCCTAGGTTCTATTTGTAAGATCTTCAAATGCTTCTCCAAAGTTACCATTTTGTTGACGTATTTCAAATGGATCTACATTGACAAATACTGGTAGAACTACTTGACCGATGGTTCTATGACAATGCATTATGTGTTCTAACTCTTGCAACCACCATCTAGAATTAGCATAGTTTCTTTAGAAAACAACTATGGAAATTTTTGAGTTCTCAATTTCTCGAAATAGTAACATGATTTGTTCTCCCTTTGGGAGTGTTTCATCGTCTTTGAAAACTTCGATTCCAGCATTTGTTAGGTGTGAATAGAGATGAAAAATGAAAGTCCTTCGAGTGTCTTCACCACTAAAACTCAAGAACACATCATTGGCCCTGTGAAATTAATTTTACTTTAGTTTTTGTTTTCATAAATTAATGTATAGAAACCCAAAATATTTTGATTTAAGGAGAATATATAAATATATATATTGTAAAAAATACTAGTGAGAAACAAATATGTATTTGTTATAACATTTTTTTGTTGGAAAATGTATTATGTATGTATATAGCTCTATCTAATATCTAATTTGGAAAAGCATTTTGATGAATGATCCTTAAGGTGGATTGATGGACTTAATTGAGCAATTCCATCAACTTTCATTTGATAAATTTGAATGATTTATTTTGAATTTTTTAATTTATAACCATAAGTTATTTTGCTCTATGTTTTTTACATTAAAATAATAAATCATACAAATCAATGAAAAAAAAATCAGATCATGACATAATGAGACAAAGGCTTACTGATGATGAAAAAGGAACTCCGAGTACGAAATACTCTCTTCTTCTCCCCTACAGTAAATATGGCAACTCGAATATTAATTAATGTCTTAAGTATTCCATTCATCACAATTTATAAGATACTTTTTTTAACAAAATCACACATACCGATAAAACTTATTAAATATACTTTATAATTTTATTTTTTAAGATAAAAATATAAACTTTAAAAAATGTTCTTCATTTAATACCCTACGAGTATTTGTGAAAGAATATTAAAGAAAGATGATATAATGGGAATGGTGATATTGTAAAAGTATAATCAATGAAACCTTATTCTATCAAAATGTCTTATATCTCCTTCTGTCTCAAATTATAAGATACTTTTGAAGAAGTTTCTCCATCCCAAAATATAAGACACTTTGCGTAGATTAAAGTTTCATTAAATGTATCAATTCTAATATTACCCTTTCTCTTTCTGTAATTGATTTTTGTCCCTTCTCTTTTTAATATATTAAATAATGGATATTTTTAAAAGTTTATATTTTTGTGTTAAAAAAATAAGGTTGTTAAGTGTATTTAATGAAGTTTATTGGTATGTAATATTTTATTTAAAAATATTTTATAATTTGAGATGGAGAGAGTATTTTATAAATTGGAATGGAGGGAGTAATTGAAAACAATGAAACATAAAGCTAAGCTTTGATTGCTTACCATCAGTTACCAATTATGAGGCAATTGTATTCAAATTGAATCTTCATGTATATATAGTACACATTTCATATATTCGGACAAAAAGCCGTGCTAGACGATTTGACTAATAATATTAATTAATTCACTATTCTCTCTCTCTCCCTCCCTCCCTCTACATTATTTACTATTGTATCAGTATATTGCTCTTTATAGCAACGCTCTAACTAAATAACAAGTCGAATGAAGCAAGGAAACCAATTAAGCTTTGGGCTATTGATTCTATTGATTGATTTTTTTTTTTGGGTCAACTATGCTTGTATTGATTTGTGATTTAATCAATATTAATTAAGCACGCCCGTCAGGTTGGATGGAAAGTGGGATGATCAACACGAATTTGAATCTTCCATATATAACTTCATTTTTTTAATATATATATATATATATATATTCTCTAATTTTTCATTTTTATTATTTCAAAGACAATAAAATTTTCAGAATGTTAATTGGTTGCTTGGAAGAGACTCAATGTAAATAATGGTATAATGTCCTAGCTTTGTCGATTTCAATATTATAAAGCATTTTTTTTAAATATCATGTTAAAAAATATAAGACATTTTGGTTTCAAGATGCAATTAATTTTTTTTCAAAAAAAAAACTTGTAATTAGTAGATGTAATTATTGAAGTTTTCTAATTGAAATATCATATTAAATAAAGATAAATATAAAAAGTGTAGATAATTAATTAACTTATTGAAATTGTAATTTAATTAAAATTTTTTTATAATATTAAATAGAGGGAGTAAATTTTAAGTAGTGATCAATGTTGGATATCAAATCGTTGTTAAAAAAAATAAAGGCACACTTCACATGTAAATATCCACCCAGAAGGATGGTTAAAGGAATCTAGTTAAGGTGCGAGGTTCAAGGTTTTAGAATAGAAAAATTCAATATGTAAGATTTTACAACACTTGAATATGAGATATCATAGAATTCTCTTGAAAATTAATTCCACCTATAATTTTGACTCAATTATAATTTAACTCATAAATTTAATTTTGTACAACTTACTTCATATAATTTTAATCATTTAAAATATGTCCCTCCTAAGCTTCAAGAAATAACTTTAATCCTTATAATTTTATTTTGTAGTCCTCCTTCATAATTTATAAGATACTTTTAAATAAAAGTACACATATTAATAAAACTTATTAAATATACTTTATAATTTTATTTTTTCAAGACAAAAAATATAAAATTTTAAAAATACCCTTCATTATTTAATACTCAATTTGTAAAAGAATATTAAAGAGAGAAAATATAATGGGAAGGATAATCTTAAAAAAGCATCATTAATAAAATATTATTTTTGTCAAATTTTTTTATATTTTAAGACAATCTCTCCTAAAAGCACTATGGCAAAATGGGTTATAAAGGATGGTTGTTTTTTAATACAGAAGAAGGTTAACAATTGTCATCTCGTGAAGAAAAACACATAAGACATTTGTAGAACCATCCTATATAGTATCTAAATATAGGATAGTTGTTAACTAACCATCTTATATAAGGATCTAGGTTTAACCAAATTTGAAACCTCTGATGTCATATAGGACGATTATGGCCACAATCATCCTATATGGCCATAATTGTCTTCTATATGTGGTCATATAGGATAGTTGTGGCCATAACTATCTTATATGGATAGTTTTTTTTTTTTTAAATAATAATAGGGGTTATTGCAATAGAAAACATAGATGTACTTAAAACAATTCAGAATCATCAAAATTAAACTACATCTAGAAACACCAAAACTACACAAATGTTCACTATTCACAATTCCTAAAAAAAATTAATTTACAATTCCTACAAAATTCTTAAACTATATATTTACTGATTGAATGGTGAATGTTGCCGTGTTGAATATCTATACTTAAGTTTCTTATAAATTGGGATAGAGATAATAAAAGATAGGGACCAAATATCTTAAATGATTAAAAACTATATAAATTATATTTCAACTAAGTCAAAACTATAAAGATTGAAGTTGCACCGAGTCAAAATATAAATTATGAGTTTCATAGAGAGTATAGGGATCAAATGATTAATAATTTTTCTGAAAAATATTAAATTCCAAATTCAAGAACAACGTAACTATACCTGTGCTGTGGCAATGGCGGCGGCCAATCAATGTCCGGTGAAATTTGTTCTCTAAGTCGGCGTTTCAATGCTTCAGAAACGCTATCCAAGTCTACTTCTTCCATATCAGCACTTTCCAAGTCGTCTTCTTCTTCAATAGAAACCTTCAATGTGCGATATTTGAAAACGATGAACCATGCATATAGGTGGAGATTTCTAGTTGAAGACTACATACAGATCTGATTGGAACTTTATATAACACAGTGAAACAAAGCTTCAAAAATATCTCTGATTCCTTACCTAATTGTATAGGAAATGAACGTACTGTATCAATTGCGTAGATGACTTTTGTCATCTCAAGAATATATAATTGTGATGCACAGATTCATGGAACCGAAGGAAGGGTGAAGCAACCAGGAAATAACATGTAAGTTTGAAATATGGAATTATATATACAAGATCTTTGATTAAATTACATTCAAGATGCAAGTCAGCCAAGAGGCATTGTTAGAATATTAATAATAATGTCAATGTACGTGCGTGTTAGTACGTATTATTATATTTAAGACATATGAATTAAGAGTTAGCTTCTCTAATCTTTTTTCAAAAGTAGTAATGCCTACTTGTCATGAATTTGATTCTAGGTTGGCTTTTTGTTGACCAAAAAAATGTTTAGCTTGGTTTTTTTAAATTTCATTAGCCATTGACAAAATCGCAGTCCAATGCCGTCAGAATCTCTCCACCATTCCTTTTTTTTTTTTGCCCCTTCTCTCTCTTTTTCTTTTTCTTTTTATTTGAAAAAGTAATAAATCACTTCGCTAGTGCTTGTTTGGCTTCAATTAGAAACTCAAATAGTGTGGTTTGAATTTTTTTTTTTTGGGTTAAAGTCTTTTTTTCTCACTAAACTTTTTTTTAGAAGCTCTAAGTGCCATGTACTAAATGGTGGGGGAAATCCCCTCTAAATAATTTTTTTAGGACCAAAATTGTCCTTCTGTTAGAGACTCATTCTTATTTTTATTATTTGCTAATGTAAAATAATTGTGGGTCAACACACAGTGACAACAAGGCATTCTGATCCATTTTGCCACCGTTTCACTGCTAAAATTAGGTATGGTTCCTGCCAGTAGCACTGTCACTTTGAGTTCTTTTAGTCCACATCAGATGGTTAAACTGGGTCCAAATACTTTGCTTTCACTATGCAAGGATGGCATTGACTTTGGTAAACTTGTTCCTCTAGTAGAGATTAAGACCCTCAAGAATTAAGTAGCTCAGCGACAGTGCAGAGATCATAACCAAGGCATTTGGAAATGTCTTTTAGCCAATTATACCTTAGTCATCAACGTAGGCTTTTGTATATATAGAAAAAAGTGTTTAAGCCTAAGCAAGATAATATGTCAACCACTGGATGATATTACATTACCCTATATATTGTGGACTTAAAAATAAAAAAGCTTATAAAACACCTCTTATATAATAAACACCAGAATATATGTTTAAAAATATATATTCAGTTAATGCAGCAAAATCTACAAGTATATTGGAAAAAAGTTGATACATCTATGTGATGGCAGCCAAAAGAAGAGAAATTATTACATGAACCTAGTGCATCACGTTATACATGCTCCATCCAATAAAATTGTACAAATTCAATCAAATAAAATCTTAAGTGCCATTATTTTTAATGATTTTATTTTTACAATAGAATGCCAATTTAATTTCTTACATTTTCTCTCTCTATTATCATTAACAGTATAATCAATTTATATTTAATGACATTTGGATGTCATGTATTTATTGGATTGAGCATGAATGACATAATGCACTAGATACATGTGAAAATTTCCCGTCGAGAGAAAGAAGTGAATAAGAAAAATGAGAGAAGAGTTTCAACTAGTGTGAAGTCTCTTCAAATGGCATTCCAACTAGGCCGGGCTGAGCAAATTTTGTCTAAAGTCAATACATTGAGCTGCAAGCATATCAATATAAATAATTATGAGTACAAATTCATGATTATAATTATAATTATAATTATTTATATTTATACTTTTAGTAAATTACACGATTAAAATTCAGAAGTCAGCGAAGCCATTCCTGCCATCTTTTTAGCCGGGATTTTGCCTTTTAATAACAACAGAAAATCACAATTATAGATCTTGTAAAGGTATATTAATGACAATTGAAGACCTTGAATTATTGAAATGTTATGGAAGGATCATGATCTTTATATGTAGTTAAAAAAATAAATGATGATTAGAATTGCCAATGGAATGTGATTCATAAATTTATATACAATTTGGCGATTACTCTATCCTTGGCCCTTTAGGAACGATTCTAACCCTGGCTTCGCAAACCGTTAGAATCTCGTTGATTCCTCTTACCAACCTATTGGTAGGACCTGAGTAGACAAGGGGCCTATTGTGGAAACTCCTTTTGCTGGTTTGACTCACAGTGTGAGCCCCAATAAAAATCTCTTTTCTTGGTCATTTAGGTTTTTTAACGTGTCCCTCATTTTTGTGGGGATTGCATTGTTTTGAAGATTGGGGTTGTGGTAGTAGCTAGGGTTGCATGTTTTGAACCCTATGATGTTGTTTGTTAGGGTCATGATTATCGTTAGTTGCCATTTTCTCTCCCCTCTTAGAGGATGCACAATATACTTAGCAGTCAAAACTAGTCCTAGTAACAATAACTGAACAAGGAGAAAGCACCATAACTAACAATGTGTATTGTCAACTGAACTAAATGCAATACACAATTACTATACAATACATAAACATCATGAATACATAGAACCTTGAAACACAAGATTTTGATACCAAAATATACTGCGCTAATTTTTCAAACCTCATTACTCTCCAGAATATTATATTTAACACAAAACTCAATTCTTTAAATCCCTCACCATGGTAGAGAAGTGTCCACCATGGTACAAAGAACAAAATATATTTCTCAAAAAGCTACCATAGTAATAAAGGGTTTACCACGATAGAAAAAAAAGATTTATCATTTTAAAACCCTACAATGGTAAGGGATCTATCATGGTAATTAAGAATCAAATTAACTTTTGAAAAGATTAACATGGTAGAAAAGAATTTACTATGGTAGATATAATTAAATATAATAATAAAAACCTACCATGATAATTTAGGAAGAACCTATAGCAATTAAATGAGTACCAAATGGGACCCCATTCAACATTAAGAGTTTATAAAACAATATATTTTCAGAATCATGAATAATATTTAAATAAAGTAAACAAGGGTATTTTGGTCCTAAAAATATGATTTACATTGTAAAAAGCTCCAAAGGGGTCAAATGTGAAAAGGGCATTTTAATCCAAAAACAAGCTTATTAGAGATAAAAGAGTCCAAAAAGGACCTTTCTGAAGACAAAATTTTAAAGAAGGGCATTTTTGGAAATATGCACCATCTGCCAATCCGCCTCGATGGATGACACAGAGGAAACACTCTCACCTCTATATTGTGAGTCATGGTGGAAGTGTACTAATAACACTGATAAAATGAACAATGACAATTCAACTTTAAATATGTATAACTATTAGCACACTTATCCAAATCAAGTTATCTAAATGTACACAACAAGTTTATAATATAATATATCTAATGGCTTTCATTTAGTACAAAAATACTTTCATATGGAGATTTTATCCACAAAACCCCCTTACGAGAAAAAATACACTTTACCAAACAACTCTCTTTACAAAACCAACACCAAAGTCCATGTGTGAACAATTTGACTACATTTCATATACTTAAAATGACTATTACAAATCATCACATCAACCTTATAAATGCATATAAATGCACCAGTTGGGTTACAGCTACCTAACACAATATAAGAAGAAAACTCTATATAAATCTACGTACTTGATATAATGCTCAAAACATGCCTCGATCTTATCTTTATCATAACAAAATAATGCCATAAGCATTGAAAACATATCTTATGGTTACATTAGACAAGTTTTGTTAAGAGCTAGGAGTCTACATGCTCATTTACCAAATAATGCTCCTAGGTTGGCAAAATGTAAGCTTAATGCTATAACAAAGTAGAGTGGTGTTCTACACACCACAACTATGACTCCGGTGTGCGCTTCTCCTACTAGACCCACCCTTGCAAAAATGTTAACCATAAGGAATGAAACATAAAGGTCTCAATAACCAATACTAATATGCCATAATGCATGTTATGCAAATTCAAATTGCATCTAATGAGGGCGTATCACTTGGCACAAATTCAAATCTCAATGTTAACTCCCCTCTTAATAAAACCTATACATGACATACATATAGAATTTCCAAACAAATGCAATTACTAAAAATTAAACATACATCCATTAAAATCATAATTCCATATTGAATATATTTATATACAATTTTACATCTCACTAGCAATACGTTTTTCCAAACAACAGTTATACGTTTTTCAAGACATGCTCATGATATTTTTGAACAATTATAATTCCAAACAATTTAATCATACTTCCAGATAATAGTTTAGTTCATATCAAATCAAATATATACATTTTCCATACAACAAAGTACTCTTCAAAACACGTAACTAATTACACCACGCACACCATAACATAATAGTAGAGGTTACCTTTGCTCCTAGCAAATCAAAGTTCCTTGAACAAGTGATTTCTCAATATTAACACCTTCAACATCTTTATCTACACATAATACAATATTAAACATAATTAATATTTGTGATTATCACACCTTAATTTAGGGTTAGGTTAATTAATCTCGTAACCCTAATACACTCCCATTCATTTTAATTATCAAACTTAGTCATACTCATCCCCATTATACTTCTTAATCATAAATTTAAACCTTAATCACCCTAATCATCATTAATCATATCACTCAACTAAGCTAGGGTTTTTGGATTCAATCACTCCATCATGATAGTTAAATAGCATCAAAATAACCTAAATAACACTTATTAAACCTCAAATAATCTATAAAATTTGAACCCCATGGCTAGAGTTTTTTTTAGATTCAAACCCTAACTTTAATCACTACTTAAACTCACTAAGATAATAGATTATATTAGAGGGTAGGAGGAGGGTTAGAAGTGTTATCTTGAGCAATTAGGAGCTAAAATTTGTGCCCAAATGGTGGAGAAGTTGAAACCCTAGTAGAGCCAAAAAAGAAAAATCTCACCAAACCTTAACTCTTCCTCTCCTTTTTGTTTGTTTTTCAAATAGACACATAAATGTTTGAAAATGTGCTATCCACTGTGGCCAAAAGTGCAATCAATTGCAACCAATGATACAACAATGAAAATCCTCACTTAAGCCCAATTTGTGGGGCCCAATTCAGCCCAATACCCATTTTGGACTTTAAGTAACCCTCTTATATGATCCTAGATCTAATTTAAATCATAATTAAATGCCTAGATGATTAATTAACCTCAATCTCAATTAATTCCTCAACTTAAATTCCTCAACCATACATTTTCTCCTAAATTACATTCCTAATAAAAATCAGGATGTTACAACCAACCTGAGGTGGAAGAGGTAAATTGAAGCTATCTGGACTTAATTTTTGTGGATCGTGGTAACTAAAAGGTTACTCTACCATTTATAATATACCTAGCTAGTTACATATTTAAGTTACATGCAAAAGATATTCTGCTTGCCATTCAATGAAATTTATTTTAAGGCATTCCTTATGACTCATTTATTACAAGTGCAAAATTGCTTAAATTGAAAGTTTAAGATATCAATAGCTTCTTTAGATAAACTTTTGAAATAAAATTATCCTTTAATTCTCAAAATATGGAAGCCTCTCATGACAAAAGTTCAAATATTAGTTCAGGGAATGAAACTCGTTCCCCTAATTCCAACTTCGCTAGTTTTTTTTTTTTTAATAATTTCCCCCTTTTGACTTCTTGCCCCCACCCTTTTTTTAAATTATCATTCACATGGAAGCCGAATTAGTCGGTTACTTAACTTATAATTTCCCTTATTTTATGACAAAAACGCGTCGCTGAAATGCATGTGGAATAATATTTAATGTAGCATTTTTTATAATCACTAATCAGATCTCTCACTGCTCTAAAGGGCTAAAAGGAAACCAGATCTCCATCTGTGTGGTAAGAAATTAAAATTCAAACGCTGCTATGGAAGAAGACTTCGAAAGTGCTGAAGAAGACTTCGAAAGCGACACGGAAGAAGACTTTAAACAGCGACGCAGAGATGGATTTTCAGGAGACCAAGTTTGGCCCTCACGGCCGCCGCCTCCGCCACCATTTCAAAGGTCAGCCATCACCGTATGAATCGAGGTTGTGTTGGGTACATGAAAGGGATATAATTAGGAAAGGAAATTAAAAAAATGAGGAATATATATATATATATATATATTTTTTTTTTGTGCCTGTTTAGATCAGTAAATGATAAAGTAGTTTTTAATTTTTTTTTCTTTAAGAAATATTATCAGGGAGAACTCCCTTATTTTCATTTTGTGCCAATAATTAGCATATAGATCTAGACATTTTGAAGCTAAAACTCGAATGGACAATTTTTTCTTTTTTTACATGAGATGATTGGAATGTTGAACTTTTATCCACACTTTATTCTATTTTTATTACTAGAATTAAATTCAACAAAAATATTCTTTTAATTTTATTAAATTTTTAATCGTTTAATTTTTAAAAATACAGGAAAAATATCCTCGTACTTAGTGTTGTTAAATTTCTTAAATGAAAATTAATTATATGAAATTAATTACCTATAATATTTTTATTTTCTTTATCATGCTAGCAAAATAAATAAATTTTTTTCCTACTTTTCCACTAAAATTTTTTAAATTAAAAAACTCAAATATGAGTCCAAAAAAGCACCGCAGATCCCCCAAATTCGACTTCGCCCCTAACTAGTAAAATCGGGAGTTTGAAAAAAGAGAAGCATTATTTTCAGTTAAGCACCATATATCAGGTGGTAGTTAAAATTATTATACATGAATTAATTTAAATACCATGTAAGCATTAACAATACTGATATTATAGTATTTTCTTTATCATGCTAGCAAAGTAAATAACCATATAGATTTTTTTATAATAATTTTGTTATTAATTAAATTAATATATTAGGATTCACATGTCATGATTTGATTTGATATAAGTATATTAAGTATATAAGGTTAAATACATAAGTTTCTGTTAAATATATTGAAAGTGTTAAAAGATGTAATTCAAAAATCATAAGATGTAATAATTATATTGTCTTGAATGTTTTATTATTGTTAGATTGATTTTGAAGACGTATTGAAGAAACTGAGACAATATATTAAAAGGGTTTTTTGTGAGACTTTTTTGAGATTTGATATTGACAAAAATGGGAAAATCTCATCAAAATCCGGCATTAAGAATTTTTTTTTGTGCCAACCCACAGTCAGGATGCAAAACAAGGATCAAAGGAATATGAAATTAAAATGGGAGAATTTTGGTAAAAGGAATAGGAAATTTTAAATGAAAACCAATAGAACCTGAAAATATATTGCAAGGCTAAAGAACTGAATTGAAAATATTTTTTAATAGGCCATGACCAAAATATTTTCCGTTTATTTGAAACAAAACGTCCACCTTCGGACAACACTCCAACTTCTAGTCCCTGCAAGATAAATATTCCAAGGTGGTCTGGCCGGTTTAAACCGTTCACCCATTGGTTCACCAGAAATTTTAGAAAACATATAATTATTGATCCTATAATTCTATCAAATTTTGTTTTTAGTCTCTATTATTGATCCTATAATTATTGATCTTATGAAAGCATTGAAAATATAGGGACCTGAGTAATAAATGTCACCCAATCTTATTAATATTATAAGGAATGAAAATATTAAAAAAAATTACATAATCTAAAAGTAAAATTTAATGAAATTATAGACACAGATGATTGTGTTTTCTCAAAATTTCAAACAAAAATTTAACTGTTATAAATTCTCAGTTTTGAGACTTTATTCTCATCCTCTATCCAATATTTGACTTACAAATTGTGTGTTGGGGCGTAGTCAAAGCGAGACAATTTGCATATGGTGGGAATACTTATTTCCAGCGCCCGACTCGTTTCTGACCCCAAGGTTTCCTCTCATTCTCCAGCTGTGATTCATATTTCTTAATTTTATTGTTTACTATTTTAAATAATAAGATAATAAAACTTTTATTCCTTCCAATTTAGTTCAGTTATCAATTTAATTATTTAACTTTAATTTTTATCAATTTAATTTTTTTATTTTTTAAACTACCATGTAAGTCCTTTATATTTTAAAAAATAAATTTACTCTCAAATTAATCTAACGTATAAAGTATTTTGGTAATTTAATATGTATATGTGGCTAAATGAGAATAAACTAGCCGTAAAATTTGTTTAATTTTTGTTAATTTAGTCCCTTATGTAAGGTCACCTTTACTTGTCCCCAATTAACTCCACAAAATTCAGGTAATCACAAGAATAACCTAAATGAATTATCGAGTTTGTAAAATTTTTATAAACGAGCTCTCAATTTTTTAAAACTTAAGATGCTATAAAATTAAAGCAAAACATGTATACGGTGGCATGGGCATCATACAAGGTAAGATAAGATCAAATTAAGGTCAAAATAGCATAAAATTTTATGTTACAGCATAAGCAATAGAACCCATGATAGCAACATGCTATTGTGGTATATTTTTTGGCTGAACTTTCAATGCATACCAAATCTCTATTTGACGTTCAAATGAGGTGATCTAGGTGTTTATAGAAAGCTTTCTTTGAGATTTAACTAATAACATTAGTTTTACATTCAAATCATTTTCAATCAAAAGTTGCATATCAAAAAGCAAACTCACACTTTTATGCTTCCAAAACATAATCTATACAGTTGGAATATGTCACAACATTCAAACAATACCTATATCACATTTTTATCGCTCAACCCTTTGATTATAAAAACATAAGGGGAGCCAAAATATGTAATTTCACATCTAAATCACTATCATTCACAAATATACTCACTTCTTACTTGCACAAGTATTTTGCCCTTGCACAAATATCTCAACTAAAAAGATACCACACTCACTAGCTAGGGCCCAAAATACAAATTTCAATGCTCAATATTCAATAGTGCAAGTATAACAAAATATGAACATCCTAGTTGACAATATTAATTAATTACATATATGCAACTAAAATTACGAGAGGCCTATAATAGTCCTCACCCCACCCCATCGAGGGTCTTTCGGATTGGGCCAATCCATATCACTATAGTAGAAGTCAGCTTTCCCAAGGTGGTACTTGAGTTATTCCTCACCCCACCAAAGAGATCTTTTGGAGCCTTCCTAGACTCGAACCTCCAACCTCTACCACCTTAAGGAAGTTGAGGCTAAGTCTGGTACTATTGAGTCAAGTTGGCTCAATGGTACCAGACTTAGCCTCAACTTCCTTAAGGTGATAGAGGTTGGAGGTTCGAGTCTGGAAAGGCTCCAAAAGACCTTTTTGGTGGGGTGAGGAATAACTCAAGTACCACCTTAGGCAAAGCTGGCTTCCGCTACAGTGATATGGATTGGTCCAATTCGAAAGAACCTCGGTGGGGGGTGGGGTGAGGACTGTTTACAAGGCTTATAGTAGGAAATTGAGTTTTCAAGCCTCTAGTGCTTTTCCTTTGTCCTGCTCGAAACTAGTACCTTTAAAATGTTAAATAGAAGGGTGAGTACAATCACTCAGTAACCAAATTTCAACTAATCTATATAGTTGCATAATATCAATGATACACACCCTAGGGTCACAATAATACCAATTATATACCTTTAAATTGCACTGGACCACAATATTAACAACCATATGGCTGAGACTAAAAGCATGATCATATGCCAACACCTTATACCTTCCTGTTACCTTTAACATGAAGCCGGTCTACATCCTTCACAGACTAACAGCCTTCCACTTATGAGAAGCTACTGAGCCAGAGTCAGCTTACTCACTTGTGTAATCTAGTTTCCCCCAATACTGAAAACTATGGGGTGTCATACCTCTAATCTAGCCTACTTATGAATCGGTGGAGATTAGTTAGATTTGAGTACCTTATAGAATAAGTGAGACAGTTCTGAATCAACCATGGGATAATGATTACTTCCTGATTCAAATGGTGGTGCCAAGGGTAAGCTCTTGATTCCAATGACCACTGCTAATACTTATGGGGTTTAAAATACTCTCCTCTCTAAGAGAACTCCAGCCAATGATCATACTAGGCACTTATAGAACGTATGTATAGGCACTCTAATCAACCATTTATGTCATGAATCTACATATCCATACTCACACCCAACTCACTCTACATATCAACTAGTATGTAATCAACTTTTTCTCATTCTTCATCGCTATTAGCATGTATATGAATATACATATATTTGCAACAATAATAAATCACCAACCATGTCAATTTGCATCAGAGTTTAAAAATATTAAACATTTTTAAATCAACCATTTCAATAAATAATCAATTAATATTTATCAATATAAACTAAGTTTCCCCTAGTTACTTCAAACTTTTAAGAGGTCAAAAGTTACCCCTCAATCATAACATGCTTTCTGAGCTAAATTCAAGCTCACCTGTGTTTCGTGAGGTTGGTTTACAATTACATTAACACCCATCACTAATAATCATTAAAATTACCACTTCCAACATCTAATTTCATATTTTAATAACTAAAACAAGATCAACCTTACATTCAATGAGTTCCTTAACTTCCATCAACTTCATTTATCCCTCAACAACTTAAATAATCACTAATATATCATCCAACAATCCGAAAACATCATTAATGTCATAAATTACTCACTTCCAACTTTCAAAATTAAACATTTTTAATCACCAAAAACTCTCAACTCTTGAGTTTAATCACCACATTAGGTTTATTAATTCTATTAGCTCCAACTAATACTATACAATCCTTAATCAACATCAACGGCAGCCACCTATTTCACACCACCATTTATGGCATTTAAATACACAATTTCATCCATAATTGAGAGCTCACTCTCATAGACGCATAAAACTAGTATTTTTACGCTTAGATAACTCAAACAACTCTTATTAACTCCATTTAAGTCAATAGGTTCAGATCCAAAGCACCCAAAGTCTAAAAATCATCCTTCAACTACAAATCCTAACTTAAAAATGGTGTAGAGAGGAAGAGGAATAGTAGAGGAGGCTTACTTTAGTGATTAGAAGCTTTAATCATCCTAAAGCATTAGCAAATCATGCCCTAATAGAGAGGATCATAAGCCCCTTCGTTCTTCTCTTTTTCCTCTATTTTTTGCACAAATTTGAGGATTAAAAGTTTTATTATCCCTTAAATTATTATATGCGTTTTACTTTTATGGTGATAGAACATTCAAAATGAAGAATATATTTATTAAAAGAAAAATTATATGAAACTTTATTTAATTGTAATTTTTTTCTTTATAATATAATCTTCAAAAAAATGATTATGCTTCAAATAAAATTGTCTCTAATAATATGAAGACATATGGAAATAATAATAATAATAAACTCTCCACAAACTATTAAAGGATATCTTAATTAACTAAATGACACTCCTTTTAATCTAGCCACTCACAAAAGAGTAGATCTCGTGACAGAAAATTTACCATCCACTTATTGAACCAACTTATATAATACCCAAAATTAATTCTTGCAAGGAAAAAAAAAACATTTAATAGGCAGTATTATATATATTTCTGCCTTAGAAAATTATAGTTTGAAAAAAATGCAATTCTTAAAAATGAAATGAGTTCTGTATAATTTAATCTAATAAAAATATGCTTTTCGTGTGAAATAAAAATATGCTTTTAAATCTTTATATTATATAAACTAATTATTCTATTAATGTTACCTCTTCTTTTTGAAAAATAAGGTCATATTGAGGATCAAAATTTTAAAAATTCATATGTGCATATGTACTGACTAGAGCTGGGAATTCAGGCGAGTTGGGCTTATTCGGGCTTAGCTCAATATGCTTAACTCTTTGAAAAGCCCAAATTCCTTCAGGCTTTGGGTGGCTCGAATATCTAAATTTTATTTTTTAAAATTATTTTTAATTAATTTTTTACTTCAAAATTATTATTTTATTTTATAAAAATATAAAATATATTTTTTGATACCAAAATGATATATAAGACTCAAATATATATATTTTAACATAAAAATGAACTAAAACATAAAGAATTTATTTATATTTATTATATTTTATATATTTTTTAAAAATAAATATTTTTTATTATTCAGGCTTGGCCCTAATAGGCATGAACATAAAAAATTTTCTTTCTAAGCTTGACCCTAATTTTTTTCAAGCAGGTTCGAGCTTAGCTTGAATTAGTAGCTCTATCGTACTGTGTCTCATGTTAATTTTAAAATGCCAACTTTTGATATAATCATGTTAATTTTAAAATGCCAACTTTTGATATAATCATGTTGATGAAAAACTTACAGTCTCCCTCTCTGCCCTAGCTACCCAAGGTCGCCACCTCCTTTGCTTCAGCCGTCGCAGTCGCCGTCGCCTTTGCCACGGTCACCTGTATTGCAATCTTCCTCATCTTCCCTTTCTTCACCTAGCCCCCTCTCCACCACAGCTGGCATGGTAAGTCTTATAATGTTACTTTTAAACAAGGGCAGAACCAGCTCTAGATCCAATTTTAAAATATTTTTTGGCCAAAAATTTAAAATTTAATATATTTATATATGTGTGTTTAAATTTTATTTTTTAAAATAATTTTATAAATTATAGAATATCATTAAATGAAAAAAATTGTTTGATATTATATAAATATTTTCAAATTTATAATTTTTTAAAAAATCCTTTAATATAACTTGCCATTTAAAAAAAATATTAAAGTATCTAACTAAAATGTATTTTAATGGACAGTAAAAATAATTATAATAACAAACTAAAAAAATTGAAATGATCTCTGTCATACGATATCCTTGCAAATAATTTGATCGTATATCAAAATAACAATATCACTTCCCCATAATAAGCTTTTAACTTTCTGGGCAAAATAATAATAATAATAATAATAATAATAATAATAAATAATAAGTTTTTAAGTGGGTCCACGTTCCTTCATGTGCTGAGAACTGTTAGGAGCGGGAACGGAATCAAGCGGCAGATTTGCTTGCCAAGCGCGCGCTTTCGGCGTCCCCTGGGTTCAATGGCTTTTTTGAAGGCTCTCCGATCTCCTGAGCTTTCTGTATAATTCAACGGGACTGGTCACCATGGAGGCTATTAGGTTAGGATCGCCGCCTCCAACAATGACGTCGTTCCACCCCTACATTTAAAATTTAAATAATTTACATTAATTAAATATTATACCTGTGACATTAATTTTTTTTAAATTTTAGGGAAATATTAAGAATAGAATGGAAGAGATATTTTAATGATTTTGATTAAAAAAAAGATAGACAAATAGTATTATAAATTTTAAATTATTTTTTTAAATTTACATTATATATTTTCTCATAATTAATAAGTTTAAATAATAATAATAATATTACAAAAATGTAATTAGTATCCATCAAGTGTTTAATGTTAATAACAAACAAATTCTTCTAGGAGACGCCCTATAATATAAAGTAAAAACAGAGGAGGGTTAAAGTAATGATATAATTGAAAAATATAAAATATACCTAATGCTTTAATTTTAAACCAAGCAAACTTATAAAAATATCATATATTATAGACGTAAAGGAGTGTAAATTAAATCTTTTTCTATATTAATTTTTTACTATAGCCCACATCCCATATTTTTTTAATGTAGATCCCATAACTCTCATCTCTTCTAACTATATAAATTTAAAAAATGTCAAAATGAGTACCATTTCGACTGCAATTACAATAGGTAAGGATTCAAGCATACATAGTTATGTTTTTGAATCCGAAAATTGAAAATACTTATTATTACTATTACTATATTACTTTCTCCATCTCAAATTATAAGGCACTTTTAAAGGAGTTTCTCCATCCCAAAATATAAGATACTTTGAATAGATTAGAGTTTCATTAAATGTATTAATTTTAATATTATCCTTTCTCTTTCTATAATTAATTTCCATCCATTTTCTTTCAATATATTAATAATGGGTATTTTTAAAAGTTTATATTTTTATTTCGGAAAGAAAGTTTGTTAAGTGTATTTAATTAGATTTATTGATAAGTTAGATTTTATTTAAAAGTGTCTTATAATTTGAGATGGAGGGAGTACTACTTATGAAGTCTACTCTTCTTTTTACGTCATCATTTTTTTCTCTTTTCAAATACATAATACAATATACATAGTCCTTTAGTAAGTGAAGTGGATCTAGATTGGTGATTTCCTTTCTCTTTTTTTTCCTTAGTTCAATTTAAGGGTCGTGCATTAAATATATACTTTTTCCTATATGGATGTAGTTTAAAGTAACTTTTAATCTTTATTTTATATATAAAAGAAAATTTTTGTATGAAATTAACATATTTGTATGCGTGATTATGAATAATGTGATTCTCTCCCCCAATTATATTTTGGAAGATATGAAATTAATAATATTTAGCACCTTGACAAATGTTTTTTAAAAAATAAGTTGTGAAGATTGATTTTAAAAGTTATGAACAAGAATCCGGATATAATATGAGACTTACATTTGAAACTTAAATGTGTTATATGCATTGAAACTTCTGAATTTATATTATTTAAATCAATATTTATAATTTATTTTTTGAAAAATTTGTCAGGGACCTAACTGTAACTAATTTAAAATTTTGCAACCTAACTGTCATTTTCATTATACTTTTGTAATTCCATCATTTCAAAAGTGTCAATCTAGTCACTAAAAATATATTATTTAGAGCCAAAATTTACACAAACTGGTTCTTTCAAGTCACAAAATTACATTAGACGCCTAGTTTAATTAGAAAAATATTAAAAAAAATAGATTATATTCTACATTTAAAATAAATGGCAAAGATTTATGTAATTTAATGCTTTCTCTGAGATGTTTGTTATATCTTTTCAAGACATACACACACAATCACCATATGCGTGTGTGCGTCTTAAGAGAAGTAAGAAATATCAATACTTCTTGATATATTAACTCCAGATTTCGTCATGGCCAAAAAATATATTTCTATACAACATTACATACAATCTGTAGTATGTTATGAGAACAAATTTAAAAGAAGAGGTTATTCTTAAAGACTAGTTTATTAGATGGACGTCTTCAATAACTCCACTTTACTTGAAGTTCTACCGATCAGAACCCTTTGTGGAAATAGCCCTCTACATAATATAGCCTCTAAATGAAAGGGCCAATATTGTTAAGAGCATAAGTTTAAAGGAGGAGTTCATTCCAAAAATTATTGAATGGGAAAGCTCCTTGAACGCATAAAACTTGTTTACTTACAAGGCTTCCCGATATGAGCCTTATAACATAATAATAAAAATGTTTTTGACAGGAATGAGGTGAAAGTGGAAGTGGTAGTAGAAGACTCGGAAAGTGATCATGAGGAAGAAGCCTTGGATCGTATTTCAGCACTGCCATTTGATGAAGCATTGAAACGACGACTAAGAGAAAAATTTTCACCAGACATAGAATGGCCACCGCCGCAGCACAGGTGAATCTGGAAATAATCTTCGTTGTTTTAAGGGTAAAATGGAGTCATTTTTCCTTCTATTTTGTTAAAATCTTATAAGTATGAAGAAGGTTTGTGTTTTCTCACTATTGATTCCAAAGAAGTTTATATAGGTTTGAAAAATAGAAGTGATGCATCTGTAATTAAAATAAAATAGAGGCAAGATCAGAGTCTATTTTACTTTACCTAGCACACACACACAATACTCCTAACTAACCAACATACACACACCATTTTTGGGTCTTATAGGAATAGAATCCACAACACCTTGCATCAAATTAAAGTAGAATGCCATTGGACCAAATGAACCATTTGCAACAAGATTAACTTTTTTTTTTTTAAATCATGAATCTTGTTATAAACTGAGAGTTGCACCTATAACTTAAATATTTTATTTGCAATTAGAATTTCTGAATTTGAAATTATTTAATCAGTATAGATTAGTATTAGTTAATTTCTCTACTATGTTACTTTTTATCCGAATATATGAATGTACAATAATGAAGATTCAATTTGAATAGATTTGTGGTAGCTGATGGTAAGCAATCAGGGTCAGGGCTGAGTTTGATTATTATTTTCAATTACTTAAGACATTGTGATCCTCTTTAATTAATATTTGACTTTAATTTCGAGTTGCCATATTTACTGTAGAAGAGAAGAGGGACCTTCATTCTCGGAATTCCTTTTTCATCACCGGTGAGTACTTGCCTGTCATGATCTGATGTTTACCAAGTTAACTTTTCTAGATGTTTATCATCTTCAATATATTCAGTAATTAAAATATATAATTAAGAACAAATAAGGATTAAATGGTAAATGAGCCCCTTCACTATAGGTCTAGGAGTGTTTGAGACCCTAATTTTTTTAATAATATTTTCCTTCAACTTTTGAAAATAATACAATATGACCGCTGTTATTAACAAAAGTTAACTTTAACCATTAACAGTTAATCAAAAAATGACAGAAAAAACCTTAAAATTTATAAAAAAACCATAAAATTATTAAAAAGGATCTAAAAATGACAGAAAATGACCAACAAGAAAAAGGAAAGGAAGAAAGGAAGAATGGATGAGAGAAGTAGGAGGCAGAAGGACTACTTGGTTAGATCACAAATTATTAAAATTATAAAGTAAACATGCAGAAACTAAAACAAAGATGCAAAAAAGAAAATGCAAGAAACCAAAAGATTGCCAGAAAAGCGGTAGTCTGCACCATATATCTTGACAGAAGTTGCAAAAAATAAAGACAAAAAATCAAAACAAAGCCAAAACAGCAATAGTCCGCACAGTCTAGACAAAAATCAAAGTACAAGAAAGCAAATGCAAAAGATGAGTGCAAGAAAGTAAAGGAAATAGAAGAAGAAGAAAGTGCAAGAAGGTAGAAGAAGGTTAATAAAAAGCTTTATTGAAGAATGAAAAGCAAGGCTACAAAGAGAACTCTCTTCAAGACCTCTCTCTTCTCCCTTTCTCTCTGGCAAAATACTTATCCTTGCAAGGGACATTACAAGGCTTTATATAGGTATTTGAAAAACATCTAATGGTCAAGATTTGTTTAGTGTAATGGTTTAGTATTTATCTTAATCAATCTTCATCCAATGATCTACATGTTGTCACTTGTCAACGATTAGCACTTGGTCAATTGTCAATGGTCAACGATCAAACTTTTTTTTTGAATTTTTTATTCTTTTCAATGATTAATCTTCTTTAAGGTTAATGCCAAAGCAATCATCTTCATTTTCTTGTGCAAAGTCTTCTTCTAGGCTTTCTACAATAGAGGCAGAGGCAGCAATCGACTGTCCTTTCTTTTCCGAAAAGAAGAGTGCATTTTTAGCTGGTTAATAAAGTTTTCTCTATCTGAGGTTGAAGGCAACATGTATGAATCTGTTTTTTTTTTTTTGCTTGAGAAACTTGTTGGTCTCTAAGGTGATGAGACATTGGGGGTTCTCTTTGCACCATGATTGGACTGCGAAGACATCGGCTCTATAGTCTTGAAAGTCTACATACCACCTCATTTATGGAACCCTTTAGAGAATAGGGTATCCACTAGGGGGATTGGATGGTATCTATAGTGCAAAGCAAAAATCCAAGACAATGATATTTTTGATAAAAAAATGTAGAAGAGCCGGAAAGGGATCATCTATAAGGTTAATTTTGATCTAAAATCTAAAAATTCTTGTTTAATGGCTGGAGGTAAAAATTTCCTCAGTAAATCCAAATTAATCTCACCATTTTATAAACCACTAGGGAAACTTATAGGGATTGCAATATTTTTTTTCAAATAAAAGAATCATGTATGATGACAGTATTTGTTTTGGTACTAAAACATGTTTTACTAGGCATCAATGTAATCTTAATAGTTTTATTCCATTGGATCAAATTTGATTGAGAATTTCTTTATTTACTAGGGTTTTGACCTTAGTCAGTAGGAGTAAGAACTTTTAATATTTGTAATGCAGAATGGGTCCATGTGGTATTATTGACCACTCCATGTTTCTTGTCTGGGTTATGTCTCAAGGTTATAGATTTCATATCCACTAAGATAAATCATAAACTTTTTGGGTTTTGTTCAAGGTTGAGGGC